TAGCAACGATAGAAAGGCTGCCGAAAGATGGGTTATAGCTACTAACGGTGAGACATATTCAGGATCAATTCTACTACATAGCAGAGAGGAAAGAGAACAGTTTCATGAATCAGACAAAGTGAAGTGTTAGAGTGTGAATTAGGCAATCTATTCCCCAGAAAACCAATGATTGTACTATCAGCTTCCACCTTGATTGTCAGCCTTCATTAGATTTTCGGCGATCATTTTGAGAGCTACTTTTTCTTAGCTAATCAGCAGCCGAAAATACAAAAATCAAGCATGAAATTATCATTAATAACGGGATAGGATGTACGGAAAGAAAAAATTAATGGTAAAGATTGGAAAGGAAAAAAAGCATAAAACATTAACCAACCTGACTAATTACATCACCCGGCGTTACCCAATGCCCATCTCTTTCGTCATCAAGATCAATAATCTTTTTCACCTTCTCGACCCAAATGTAGTGCAGTTTCCGATAAACGAACCATCTCACTTCATCAACTTCTCGCATTGATCCATCCTCGTGAGGTACTAGCTTAAGCAAATGGCCCGTTAACCTCTTCTGATTATGCCAAATTAAGATTAATTAAACCTGAGAGAATGAAAATACAGGATTACACCGAAATACAATGTCGAAAGTGTTCAACTTTCTTAATATTACTATCAAATGCTCCGGAATTAAAAATGCGAAGCAAGTCAATAATTGACCATTATTCTTTTGGTAATTGCTTTTTATTATTGCTGCCATCATTGCTTGATATCACTACAATACACCGAATTGGTGACATGGGAATGGACTGTAATGTTGACGGCTGCCCACTGACATGCTGGTGCAAGTTTGGAAAAATGCATGGCACTGCTTTCAAAGCTGGGGCTACCGAGTGAGAATGAACAGTGATTTTCCTCTTGCTTTAAAGCTATGTGTAGATAAACAGAAATAATGAGATTCCACAGATTTGAGACTCGAACTCAATTTGAAGCTACTAAAATATCAGGTTGGCACATAATACAGCAGCGTTTTCGCTCGCTAAAATAGGGAATCCATGTGGCAGAAAATGGCGTCCTCGATGCTATTGTTTGAGACTTATGATGGCGGAAGCCGCCAGAGAGAGAGTTCTTCAAATTAAGTCGCACTTATTGGATCTTCCTCCAAACGACCCTAACTTTTTCGCACAACCTTACCATTTTAAGAGTACAAATAGAAAATAGTGAGCACTTTGGGAGCGGTTCGATATCTTTTTTGAGGCCGAATCCGGTGATTTCTTGCGAAATAAAATTAAAGTCATAAATAACGACTAAGAAAACATCATGATTCGTTATTTTTATATATTGTTTCGGACACTTGCATTGAAAAAAAGCAATACGATACTAAGCACTAACCTATACATAAACTACTGTGAAAAAAAAAACTCAAAAAGCACCCTTCTGGTGAAAAAGAACACGGCTTTTCAAATATGTCCTACCCTTCCACCTCTACTATTGTGATGTACCAATAATAGAACTAATTCCTGCCTGTTCTTTGCAAAAATTTCGCTATTTCCTTAGGAAGTACGTTTTTAAATGAAAAAGTATGAAAAGCTCACCAAAGGAGGTCCACGAAAACTCCTACGAGTAGTTTTAATTGGATGAAATTCTTCAACATTATGATCATCCCTGAAATGATACTATACTCGATTCAATAGCTACATACTGTCCATGTTCGGTTGCTGATAATGTTTACATCAGCATATCGCACGATTGCGCCCCTTCAGCTTACACATAGCATTTTTCAGCCTAATGGAAAATGAAATCTAATAGACACTGTTATAGTCCATTGGAATATAGCCGAGACACTTGGCGAGAAATTTAGCTCAAGCGGACCAATAAAAACTAAACTAACGAGTACCATTATTTGATTGACTGGAGTTCTCTAAAATATAGCGAAAGCTGATATTAATTGGAAAGAAAAACTTACATCGATAAGTTAACAGAAATCAGCAAAGCAAACGTAGACGTGTGGCACGAAATCGGATATGCCATTTTTGTTTCCAATGAAGAACTAAGCGAAAAAGTCCGAACGTTACGAATGATAACATGTAGAACAAACCCTGAAACAAGTAGTGAGCAAATTACTGAAAAAAAAAAACATTTGAAAGAAAAGGAAAAAAGAAAGGATGTTGTGTCGGTCGGTGTTAAAGGACACTCTACTAGAAGGCCTAATCACGGCTCCACAAATTATGCAGGACCCGATATCTTCGGTTTCTTGCATATTTCACTTGATTGACTTCAAAATTGAACAGTCCAAAGAATGGCCGCTAAATGGAGGTTCAATGGAGGAATTTTTAACAAATCTCTTTTAATCATTAAGCCAAACCCTCAAATTAGATTAAACAATGATTTTTTTTCCCTCCCAAGTGGCTGTTTTAGAGGAGATGACCGCCCAAAGCCGAAACTGCCCCAGGATGTCAAAAAAATTCTAGATGTTACATTAGGAACGTGCCCGTGTTCCTTACAAACTGAAAGATCTATCAGGTGGCAAATCACGTTCCGAATCGTAAAGTTACAGCAAAACTCACCGTTCTCAATGAACTCGATTTATAAGCATATAAATGGAGTAAATGCTCTCCAGACTCGAGAGTCAAATGGTGGCGACGACCGCCACCTCCCTCTCCCATGCCCTAATTGTCGACGGTTCAACAGCTCCCTGAAACCACTTCATGAAGGAAAAATAAAAAGGCTTCTAAAGCCGCGACATAGTTCGCGACTCCAGAGATTAGGATAAGGCTGGTGTCAGAGTCCGCGATCCGTCGCAGGTTTCGCTGGGTTTTCGCGATTTGCGCGATTTTCGCGATTTTCGCGATTTGCGCGAAACCTGCGACGGATCGCAAAAATTGCAAGTGTGTGAACATTTGAAACACTGAATATGAAACAAGTGGAATCATGAGCAGTCGTCATTCAGCCATCACTATCAAGCAGAAGTGGCGGCAGGATTGGAGAACATTGATCGGGCACTTGTGATTTCCGTGACCCGTCGCGTGAATCGCGCAAATCGCGCAAATCGCGTGAATCGCGCAAATCGCAAAAACCTGCGACGGATCGCGGACTCTGACACCAGCCTAACACCCGACAATGAGAAGGTATTGACAAGAAAGCGATACAGTCGAGATCCGAAAGTTGGGGTAGGCGTGTCACCGGAAGTGACGTGCACTTGATAGAAGTTGCGTGGATAAGCTGTTGCCAGCATGCTTTGCTGATATCCATTTTCCTTATCCACAGCTTCTATCAAGTACACGTCACTTCCGGTGACACGCCTACCCCAACTTTCGGTGATCGAGTATGTGTATACGACGAGGAGATTAGGTTAGGATAGTAGGAGAGAAGGATAGTGCGCTGACAAGACTAGATACGTATCGACTGAAATCGCTGGGAAGTTGTTATGATAGTAGGATAGTAATGGAGGAGATAAGAATAATAGATTATATACGCATTGATCGAATCGCTTGAAGACACCT